ACAGATGAACAAAGGAAATTAAATAGAAATAGAAACGACAATACATACACATGTAAATAATTGCCTGAAATTAAAATAGATTAGTACTTACAAACTATTGTGTTGAAGATTTTGTGTATCACAGATGAATAAAGGGAATTTAATAGAAATTGAAAGGACAACAGATACACATGTAAACAATCATCTCAAATTAAAACAGATTAATACTTACTGCCTATTTTGTTGAGAATTTTGTGTATCACAGATGAACGAAGGGAATTAAATAGAAATAGAAAGGACAATAGATACACATGTAAACTTTTGATCATCTCAAATTAAAAAGTTAGTACTTACATTCTATTATGTTAATTGTAAAGAAGAGTAAGTATATCATAAAAGAATAAAGGTAGAAAGGACAATATACACTTGTAAACAATCAGTACAACTTAAAACAAATTAGTACTTACATCCTATTGTGTTGTAGAGAAGAGATTGTGTATCACATATGAATGAAGGAAATTAAGAAGGAAAATAGAAACAAATGTAAACAATCATCTGAATAATAGCACTTACTATCTATTGTGTTGTAAAGAAGAGTGAGTGTATCACAGATAAACAAAGGAAATTAAAGATAGAAAGGACAATAGATACACATGTAAATAATCTCATCAAATTAAAACAGATTAGTACTTACAGCCTATAGTGTTATAAGGAAGAGTTTGCGTATCACAGATGAACAAAGGAAATTAAAGAAAGGACAATAGATACACATGTTAACAATCATCTCAAATTAAAAAGTTAGTACTTACATCCTATTGTGTTGTAAAGAATGAGTTAGTGTATCATAGAAGAACAAAGGTATAGAAAGGACAGATACGCATGTAAATTAACAATCATCTAAAACTATACTTACTCCCTATTGTGTTGTAAAAAACATGTTTGTGTTACACAGATAAACGAAGGAAATAAATTTAAGATAGAAGACATGTAAAGAATCATCTCAAATTAAAATAGATTAGTACTTACCCACTGTTGTGTTGTAAAGAAGAGTTTGTGTATCATAGAAGAATGAAGATAGAAAGGACAATAGATATACATGTACATGTATAAGCAATCATCTCCAATTGAAATAAGTTAGTACTTACATTCTATTGTGTTGAATTAGAGTTTGTGTATCACAGATGAATGAAGGGAATTAAACAGAAATAGAAAGGATAATAGATACACATGTAAACATTTGATCATCTCAAATTAAAAAGTTAGTACTTACATTCTATTATGTTAATTGCAAAGAAGAGTAAGTATATCATAGAAAAACAGAGGTAGAAAGGACAATAGATACACATGTAAACAATCATTTCAAATTAGAATAGATTATAGTACTTACTAGCTATTTAAGAAAAGTTTATGTATCACAGATTAATAAAGGTGGAAAGATCAATAAATACACATGTAAACAATCATCTCAAATAAAAATAGATTAGTACTTACTATCTATTGTGTTGTAAAGAAGAGTTTGTGTATCACAGATGAACGAAGGAAATTAAATAGAAATAAAAAGGACAATAGATACAGATGTAAATTAACACTCATCAAATAGGTTAGTACTTACTCTCTATTTTGTTGTGAAGAAGAGTTTGTGCAGTTTATCAAAGATAGAGAGGACAATGGATACACTAAACATCATTTCAAATTAAAATAGATTAGTACTTACTCCCTGTTGTGTTGTGAGGAAGAGTTTTTGTATCACAAATGACACAGATGAATGAAGAAGATTAAAAAAGAAAGGGCAATATATACACATGTAAACAATCGCCTAAAATCAAAATAAATTATAGTACTTACCACCTATTGTGTTTAAGATTTTTGTATCACAGATAAATGAATGGAATTAAATAGAAATAGAAAGGACAATAGATACACATGTAAAAACTCATCTCAAATTAAAACAGATTAATACTTACTGCCTATTTTGTTGAAAATTTTGTGTATCACAGATGAACGAAGGGAATTAAATAGAAATAGAAAGGACAATAGATACACATGTAAACACTCATCTCAAGTTAAAACAGATTAATACTTACTGCCTATTTTGTTGAAAATTTTGTGTATCACAGATGAACGAAGGGAATTAAATAGAAATAGAAAGGACAATAGATACACATGTAAACACTCATCTCAAGTTAAAACAGATTAATACTTACTGCCTATTTTGTTGAAAATTTTGTGTATCACAGATGAACGAAGGGAATTAAATAGAAATAGAAAGGACAATAGATACACATGTAAACACTCATCTCAAGTTAAAACAGATTAATACTTACTGCCTATTTTGTTGAAAATTTTGTGTATCACAGATGAACGAAGGGAATTAAATAGAAATAAAAAGAACAATAGATACACATGTAAACACTCATCTCAAATTAAAACAGATTAATACTTACTGCCTATTGTGTTGTAAAGAAGAGTTCATGTATCAAAGTTGAATGTAGGAAATTAAAAATAGAAAGGACAATAGATACACATGTAAAGATTCATTAAAAATTTTAAAAAATTGTACTTACTTCCTGTTGTGTATCACAGATGAATGAAAGAAATTTAAAAAAGAAAGGACAATAGATGCACATGCATGTAAGCACTCA